ATAGCGACAAAGACACGATGTAGTAGTTGTGATTTGAAGCGTCATTGTTGGAAAACCTCAAGATGTCAGTGATATCCTTACTGCCAAAGCGACCCAGCATTGTTTCCTTGTTTGCAGTCAAACAATTACAGTGTCAAGTTTCAACGTCGACTACAACGCCTCCCACACATCGGCCTCGAGATGCCATCATTTCACAGCCATCTCCGTCACCAAAGAAGGCAGCTCTCTCAGTTTTGCCAACTGGAACACTTCTTCGCTCGCTTCTGTTGACATCTGCCATGTCATCTCCCTTACTGAACCCTTGTTTATCAATGCTGAAATACGGGGTGGATTCCAAGTCTCCCCTCCTCAATCCATCAAAGAACCCGCTGATAGATTACCTCCTCCGAAAAACAATCTACAATCACTTCTGTGCGGGTACAAACGAGGCTGAAGTGCGCAAGACCGTCCAGGATATGAAAAGCCTAGGATTCAAGGGTGTCATCCTTGGATACGCCAGAGAGTCAATTGCGAAGGTGGACGAAAACGACAACAATACCTTTCAAGTCCAGAAATGTCAACAAGCAATTCAAGACCAAGCAGTGGAGGAATGGAGACAGGGAAACCTACGGACACTGAAGATGATTGGCGCAGGAGACTTCCTTGGAATCAAGTAATGACCTATCCATGATCAACGACTGCGCCAACCCAAGCGGAGAACTAGCTAACAGAAACCAGATTCACCGGTGCAGGCCCCCAAGCCGTTGAAGCCCTTTCTCGCGGCGACCTTGCTCCGCCTCCTTCTATCGCGCAAGCCATTACAGAGATCTGCGAGGCCACAGCATCCCAAAACTCCCGCCTCTGGATCGACGCAGAACAGCAAGTCTTCCAGCCGACGATCGACGCCTGGACAATTGACCTTATGCGAAGGTTTAACCGAAACGGGAAGATAGTCGTCTACAACACTATTCAGGCATATTTGAAATCCTCGACCGAGAACGTCCATCGGCACCTTTGCCTAGCTCAAAAGGAAGGATGGACCTTAGGGATCAAGCTTGTCCGCGGGGCCTACATCGCGCACGATATCAGATCCCGGATACACGATACTAAGGCTGATACGGATAACAGCTACGACTATATCGTGGAGAGCCTTCTATCACGGAAGTTCCCACTCAAAATAGAGTCTGATAATGCGCCAGCGTTTCCGGATGTACGGTTGTTCGTGGCATCTCATAATGCGGAAAGCGTGCGCAAGGCGTCGACACTGTATAGACAGAGGATCCATAACGGTCAACCCACGACTCCGCTTGAGATTGGCCAGTTGCAAGGAATGGCGGATGAAGTGAGCTGTGAGTTGTTGGCTGAGAATAACACTGGGGAGTCGGCGATCCCGACACCTGGAGTATTCAAGTGTCTGGCCTGGGGGACCACGGAGGAATGCCTCCATTTCCTGTTGCGACGAGCAATTGAGAATAAATCAGCGATGGAAAGGACCAAAGATACAGCAATAGCGATGCGACGGGAAGCCCGGAGGAGACTTGGGTGGTGAGACATCAGTATGCAAGGAGCACTTTGCCATTTTTCGCGGTATTCATTCTCTGGATGATACACGTATATGTTGCTGTACGCCACATAAAGACGGACCAAGCGTCCACTAATCATACTGCGACAACAGAGTCGAGTTACCTGTCACGCGAGCTTCCCGTCAATAACACAAAATGCGGGGAAGTACTCATGCTTCCTTCTTTTGGACATCGGCAGCTGTAACCGAACTCGCGAAGGACTGAACTCGGGAGGGGATTCCGGCTGTTGTTGAATCACTAGAGGCAGTGTTCACCTTCTATGCCTTCAAATAGACGGTTTCATAACTGTCATTCTCAATTGGATTCTCACAAAGATTGGGATATCCAATCTCTAAGTAAAGAACATCGACTGCCAGTATCTTCTAATACATCATAACGCTCAAGATTATTTGGGAAGCTGAGCTTGTATCTCAGGTGGCACATTGTCCTTGCCAATAAAACGAATCCACCGCCCAGTGTCCTCAAATTCATCCTTGACTCCTTCAACCACCTGGTTGTTCGCCGTTATCTGGCCAGCCAAACCGACGACTCCAACCTCCTCAGCGTAGATAGCCCAGAGTCTCAACAACTCATTGAAGATTTCAGGCTTCTCCTTGCTCAAATCGTGCGTCTCTCCCGGATCCGCTACAATGTCAAAGAGCTCCCACCGTTGCGGGCCGCGAGGGAGAGGCACATAAGTAATCTTGTACCATCCCTTCCGCAGGGCACCACTTCCAGCGATTTCCCAGCCCGTAACATGGTCGTCGCCATGGATCGATGACGGTGCAGGGGAAGTGTCCGTGCCAGCGACCGTTATGGCATCCAGGAAGGGCTTCCAACTGACACCCCGAACCCGCTCGATCTTCCGTCCTCTATATGTGTTTCCCGGATGTTGCAGCCCGGCGTATTCCAGGATAGTCGGGACAATGTCCATTACTGTACAAAAGGCATCGATAACGCGACCACCTTCATGCAGGGCTTCCGGATTGCCTGCTGGCTTAACAATCAAAGGCACACGGCAACCGCCTTCCGTGGAGAACATCTTGTAGAGTCGCGATGGGGCCGTAGCTGCTTGGGCCCAACGACTGCCGTACCACACGTAGGAGTTTGGCCGCCCGATATTCTCTAACGAATTATCATAGTACTTCTCCAGATGTGCTGCGATACCACTGCCGCCGAGAGGTGATGCCTCGTAACTGGCGCCCTCGGCACCATTATCCGACATGAAGCAGATGATGGTATTGTCGTATTCATCCGACTGCCGCAAATAGCCCACGACTCGGCCGATATTCTCATCCATCACTTCCACCATTGCGGCGTAGACTTCCATCGCACGAGCGGATTTTGCCCGCTCTTCGTCGTTCATCTGCTCCCAGTCAAGGTCACCTGGTCCGGTCACAACTTCGTGGGGCACAATGCCTGGCGCCACCAAGCCCAGTTCCTTCAGTTTCTCGAGACGCTTAAGTCTCAATGCAGCTGGGCCGTCATTGTACTTCCCGCGGTACTTATCGACATAGGACTTGGGGGCTTGCAAAGGCCAGTGCGGAGCAGTGAAAGGGAGGTAAGCGAAGAACGGCTTCCCTTTCTCCGACTCCGGACGCTCGGAAAGGAACTCGATGACCTTCGAGGCGTACGTCTTGGAAGAATAAAAGTCCTCAGGCAGCTTTGTCGAATATTCAGCGTCTTCCATGTGGAGAGCTGTCACAGTTGACTGAAAGAAAGGGTGGACGTCCGCGACAATGTCATCATACTGAGGCTCATAGCCTTGGGACCTGTTAGCAACCTTCAGTATGCATCTTGCACGAGCTCACCGTAATGATTCGCCGCACCAGAAAGCATAGCGTACGATTTGGCAAAGCCCCGAGCATGCGGCGAGTACTCCCGCTTCAAACCCAGGTGCCATTTCCCCGACATCAAAGTATAGTAGCCTCCATCCCTGAGTAGCTCCGGCAACGCCACAACCTTCTCGTTCAAGTGCCCTTCATGGCCTGGGGCACCTTGGTGAGCGCGAGACCTGGATATGTACTCCGGCAATTGGCCTAAGCCGGTCAAATGGTGGTCCGTTCCAGTCATGAGCATAGATCGCGTGGGAGCGCAGGCCGCAGCAACATGAAAGGAATTGAAGCGCAGTCCACCCGGCGAATAGGCCAAGGCATCGATGCTAGGAGTACTGATCTCGGATCCAAAGCAACCGCAGTCGCTGAATCCGAGGTCATCGGCGACGATGACCAGGAAGTTAGGCCGGGATGTCATCAAGGACAATCGGGTCGGGAATCCGCAAGCTGTGAATATAGACACAACTTGTACTCTAAAAGGATTATTATCGACGATGCGAACAGCAACTGTTCAATATATATAAACCTTGTATAGTCGCCGGATGATTGGGTCGCAAGGCCGTCGGGAAGGGAAGGACTCCACGTCGGCTATACAGTAGTCTGCGACCGGTCAATGCCCAATCACAAAGTGAAGAAACTCAGCCATTCCATCTCAACATCAAGTCCAGCTATTGCACCATCGTAGAGTAAACGTCCAATCGCATCAGAGCATGCTATGCCTTGCTTCCAACTGCATCGGTTGTGTAATCGGGCTAATTGGTAAACTGCCAGTGGAGTCAGCAGGTGTCAGCAAATCGGCGTTTTGGAAACTACCTTATCCATGTCGGTTCAGTGCCATTCGTCTCCACTTCACATTAGATGCCGGGACAACCAATCGATGAATATGCCTGCCAGTGTTACTGGAGGTGTGCTGTCATTAAGGCGCGACCCCATAAGTGTAGGCCACTCCTACTTCGTCAACTCGAAGGTGCCTGACAGAATTGATGAACAGGAGAAGACCATATTTGCTCTTCTTCCGATTGCCTCGAGCAGCTGGAACATGTGATTCTCTCGGTATGTATGGCCGGCAAGGAAGAGCAGACAGGTGATTGACTGATAAGTGATTGATTGTCCATGCTGACAGCGTTTAATTAAATTATATGCTTTCGATCGGGAATCTCGGGGTAAGAAGATGGGTTACTGACGACCAATGTTCTCTATCGCCAGTGCACTGGATGCGAGATGGTGTTAGTCGATGCTGATAAAAGTAGGATACCAGCGCATCTCTGTCATTAATGCATGTGCCAGGTGCCGGTCATAGAGTGAGGTAAAGGTGCCTAAGGCAGGCGAAGCGAACTCGCTTGACCTTCTTTGTCCAGTCCGTTTCGTCTCATTCTTCAATGCTCCAACGGGTTTCAATGAAATCCATTACGTGATCGGACCAGAGCTTGAATATCATACCCATTCGATTATCGAATCAAGGAGTTGACCGGCATAAGACCCAAGCAGTAAGCACATGTCATTAGATCTGCCTGTGAGCTAGCTAGCAAGGATCAGATCATATTATGTACATCATAATAGGAATGTATAATACATTTGTCAAAAGCCCGAGGATCTTCATTGACCGCCGACTGACGATTCATCCTCAAGCATTGAACTGCCGCCACCGACGGTCATTCAAGCCACCAGACAGCGCAGCGGCAGCCCTGACGTCCAGCCTTCTCTTGTTGTTGCCGTGACTACTAGACGACCCCTTACTCTCACCCAGGATAGCCCACTCAGCAACAGTAGCACCTTTCTCGCCGCCTGCCTGATTACCCGAAATCAGCAGAGTGGCGTAGCGAGACGATTGTACAGTCTGCGACAGATTCACTTCGGTAGTATTACCAGTAGACATGATAACTTCGTTGTTCTGGGTGCTCTGGGCGTTGTAGGGCTGAGATTGCGCGATGTTCGTCAATGTGGTGACGACTTTATATTGGGAGTTACCGTGAGCGGAAGACATCGCGGCCACGGGGTCCTCAAGCATCTCATCGTGGAAGATGACAGTGGCATTGACGGGTGGGGCTTGCCACCAGTTAAAGTGGAAGCCAGAGACCTTGGAGTTGATCTCGATGTCGGCCAGGGTCACGGTCAACGAGCTCATGTTGGCGGTGGTAGGCTGCCACTTGGTAGAGGTTGCACCATCCACGGCTGCGATGGGGAACTGGCCGGGAACATAGTCATTAGGCGAGTACACAGGGCGACATTGCACCATGTTTCCAGGGGTAGTATTGTTGAATCCGATCTGTCTGTTGGGAACAACCAGGGGGCCGGTGGCTGGAAGCTGGTAGGCAGTTGAGTTGCTGGGGTCGCCAACCAAGACAGGAATGGTGGCGTTGGCAAAGCGAGAGTCTGCCGTGTCGAGAGGCGCAACGTTTGCGGCTCGGCTGATAGTCGTATGGGTGCGGTTGGAGCTCGCGGAAATGGGCCATCCACGCCAATAGAACGTGCGGTACGCCACGTTGGAAACCTGAGGGGGCAGGTTGGGGTCGATATGAATGGCATCATCGGGAAGCAGTCTCAGTCCCAGGTATCCGAAGAGGACAACCTGGTTAGCACCACCATGTCCTGTCAAAAAGGGATAAGCTGGGTGAGTGCCACCGTTGATACTGGCCTCATCGATCATTTGTTCGGAAAGTTGGTAAAATGGAGCTCTCATGTACGGGTCGTAAGAGAGCTGATGGTAGGTATAGGCAGAGCAGCCGGATGGTGAGACATCATTTGCAGTAATTGAAAAGATAGCCCACGTCATAGCGGGTCCGTCCGGAGACTGTTTGTTGGCATACTGTAGGCACATGAATGGTTAGTCCCGTTCAGTGTAGGAGAAGCAGGATGAACTCACATAATCGAGGTCATTCAACGAGTCCTGGGCTGTATAGTTGTTGTCGTAGACCAAAGGATACGTGACAAGCACTACGTCAGCCTGCTTTACCACAGTGGTACCGTTCATGGTGGTATACTCCATCGTCACGCCGTTCTCCCTGATGACGAGGACATTTTCTGAGATTTCCGTCCAGGTCTCATTCTGTTCGAGACCGAACTGCTTCCGGAAGGAATTGGCGTAGTTGAGTGTCTCGGAGATAAGCGGCAGCGTGAAGCCACCGCCATCAACGTGGTTGGCATATTCATCCTAGAAAACCGATTAGATTGGAGCTAGACACCCAGAGAGTCAAACGTACCGGATCAGTCATATTGGTCAGCGTCCAGGACGAACCATTGCGCTGAACGATGTTCGAATACATGGTGGCAATGGAGTCGTAAATGGGAAAATGCTGCTCGCGGAAAGTCTTTGTGTCGCCGCTGGCAATCCATTGATACATCAGAGATAGCCCAATATCACCGTCCAAGTGATACTGGTAGTCCCAGCAAGGACCAGTACCAGTACAGTTACCAAAGCGACCACTAGTCCAAGGATAGATGGCTGCCGAAGGAGAGAAGGAGGTCTGGTTCTTTGAGCTTGTAAAAGCAGTGTTGATATTCTCAAGTGCCTGTGGGTACAGCTTGGTTCGGTAATTGGTCACTCTCTGCGCAGCCTCGGGGTGAGATGCCACCAGACCTGGCTGCATCCAGACGTCGGCATCCCAGAAAACCAGACCCGCATACGAATCAGAGGTCAAACCACCGACGGAGATGCTGTTGACATTGACTGGAGCTCCGGAAACAGCCTTGATGGCATTCTTGCCCACGGTGTTTTGCAGAAGGTAGTACGTGTTTGCGACCGCGATAATCTGGGAGTTGAGGATGTGCTCATCATCCGGCAATTTTCCGGTGGCAGGGTCAACAAAGCTGTCTACCGAACCGTCCAGGAGAATGCTAGCCCACTCTGCCACGTGCGACTGCAGCGATTCCATGTAGCCGGCTCCCATTGCCGCAGACACCGCTTGCTTTGCCGTCTGTTGGGGGTTAGAAAATGCGTCCGACGACGCAGCGCCAACGAACTTGGTGATCCGGATTGTCTCATTTGCAGAGAACTTGACATTGACAGCCTGCGCAATGGATGATTCATTGCTGTGGACATAGGGCTTGTCTTTGACAAGGGCTTGGGAAGACAGATCCACGCCAGCGGAGGCAGTCAAATTCGTGTAGACATAGGCCGTGACATTTGAGATACCCCAGGGCCGCACAGCCGAGAAGATAGCTCCACTGTCTTGGCCGGATTCCACGAAATCGGTACGGACAGCCGAGTAACCATCAATGACATTGACCACTGACGCCTGAGACCCCTGGGAAGGGGTAATCTCCATATCCACCACGGCTTGGTTGACATGCAGCTTATGAGCAAACAGCCGGTATGTGATGTTGAAGGAACCCTTGTTACATCTAGGAGTCCATGTGTACGACCAAGACAACACCCCAGACTTGAAATCGTACGTGGATTGGAAATCAGTGATGGTCTTGTTGTCCACGGTAGCATCGAGATAGGTGCCGTTCCCGAGGTCGAGAATCAGACCACTCCAGTGCGGGACACCGCTAATCACGCTCTCACCCCCGTACTGGTTGAGCCAAGGAAAGTTAGAGCCATTTGTGGTTGGCTGATAGTCGAAAAACCCAGCAATAGTCGCAAAAGTCTGTCTTCTGGAATACAGAGGCCAGCCGTTAATCACGTCGCCGCCAACTGGAACGTCCAATTCGAAGAATGGGCCGACACTCGCAACGTTGATACCGAGGTAACCATTGGCAATGGAACCGCGTGATTGGAAGTGGCCCTGATCCAGGGTTGTAGTCGAGAGAAGCCAATGATCATCATCCCAGGTCACACCAGGGAATTTAGTCTTGTAGACATGCGACGAATTAGTGTCAACTTGTTTGTGCCCATGACCGCCGTGTCTCTTCAAGCTCCTCGCAATCCGGTCATTATTGTTCGGTAAGCCGATCGTTGCGGGAAGACACGCGAGTAGTGACACCCACGTCGCCAGGTTCTATCAATCTGGTGAGCTAACGTCGCTCGACATTGATTGAAAGAGCAGATTGCTGTGCTCACCTTAGAAAGCATCCTGGATAGCCTCTCAGGGCAGTGAAATCAGCCCGAAAAAGGGTCCTATTGCAAAGACTTTTTGAAAGTCAGCCTGCTCTCTTGTAAATTAAACATGAGCAGGTTCCATCCTGCTTAAATAACAAGAGAAGCTGGCCACCCTCAGGAAGGAAGGAGAAAACAAGTGCTGGTTGGTTTGCTTCTCTCATTTTCTCCGCACTCGTATCCGATACCGGAAAGACCGAATGTCGATCCCCCCGCCGTTGACTGGGTGCCCCCGGACGGGTTCCCGTGTCTCCGAATCAACGGCGGGCTGGTCACGTCACTGCCCACAGTGCCCAGGAACACCCCGAGATTTCAGGAATCAGAAGGCCTGGATGACGCACAGACTTTCTGAACTTACCCAACGTCGTATCCAGCAAACTTTGTCCGCAAGCTAATTTCCAAGACCTGGTGGCTTACCGTGATTTGGCCATAAATTGTGTAATAAGAATTGATCGCAGCCTAGCAAGTAGCAAGATTGTTTCTGCGGGGTAACCGCAAGCCACAGTCCGACCGGGACGGTCCCGTTCTTTAGAGTTGACTGGCAGACACGGCAATCCGGTGAGCAGCGAGACCGGGAGTTGAAAAAGTGGAGTGGCTTGAAGTGGGAACGGGGAAAAAGCCTCATCAATGGTTCTGTGAACTTTCTGAACCCAAAAGAGCGATTTAGACGATGGAAACAGGGGCCAAGCAGCCTCTTTCATCATCAGCTCTTGGTGTGCATGGGTACAGAATAGTAAGTCACCAAAGAAGCCAAAAGAGAGTTTCTGGAGAGTTCTGCCTGCCCCGCACAAATATCCGGCTTTAGCCCGGCAGTCAGGTGCCAGCCACCCTTGGCCTTGGGCAGCTCTCAGGTGAATGGTATTAGCTAATGAGAAAAGTGGGAGAGCTTTACAAGAAGACGGATTTGAATCGGATATGGGTATTTGTACGAATAGTGCTACAGTAGTATAGAGCACAGTATAGACAGAGAAGCAGGGCAACTCTCTAGTCACCGAGTGAAAGTTCAATTAGAATGAGTAAGACTTCAATCTCATTTCCCCCTCTCCTACTAGCCCCTAGTGGTCCACGGGAAACCGGTCCAAAAACTTAAAAGTCCTAAGGCCCTCCTTAATCCCATTGGCAAAGTCATCAGTGACCGACTGAGCCACGTACACGCCGTCCCGAGACGTAGCAATCCCCGCGTTGCGGAGAGCAGCTGTGCCGCTTCCCAGCGCCCCAACAGTCTTGCCGAACCGGAATCCATCAATAAGAATCTGCAGGGGCCGACCGGTGGGGTACAGAGAACTTGCAGCGCTAGTTGCGTTGGCCGACCCACCAGTAAACGAGGAGGTCGTGAAGAGGCTCTCTGCGCCAGCGGCAACAACCACAGCGTCAAATTGGATTGCATCTGAAGTAGAGTAGGTTTGGTCGACACCGCTGGCCAGACGTTCTGCGACAACAACCACGTCGACACCGGCGTCCTTCAGGCGGTCGCGGAGGGCGGAAGCTCCATCAACCGAGCCTGAGCGCTGGACAGAAGCCAGGACACCGACCTTGAGGCCATCGAGCTTCTTCAGCTTGGTTCCAAAAGTGCCGACGTTGGCGGTCTTGTTGTTGTGATAGAAAGTCGGGTCGGGCTGAGGTTCGGCGACGCCAATTGCGCGCGCAACACGTCGGGCAAGGTCGTTATCGATGCGGTTCAATTGGATGATGACATTGTTCCTCACAACGGGGGATTGAACGTTTGCGTTTTCGAAGCGGATGGCGTCGATAACAAACTGCTGCTCGGCAGGGACCAGAGAATTGTAGAAGAGACGTGGTTGAGACCAGACATCCGCAAAGCTTGGGCTGACCGCACGGACAAGTTTGCCGCTGGTGGTACGGCCAGGAGTTGTGAAGAAGCCATCGCCGACGCTCTGGTTGGCTTGTTTGGGCGAACCATTGACGGGTGTCTTGGGCGAATACGCGTGAGGATTGAGGGGGATGAACATTTGGCCTGCACAAAGGTGAAAAGATTAGAATGGGAGTGCTGACATCAAAGTTAGAGAAGTCTCACCTGCTCCATCGCGATTGTTGTTGTGGACGGGAACGCGAGGCTGGTTAATGGGGAGTTGTTCAAAGTTGGGGCCACCGTTACGGTTCAGCTGAGTGTCCAGGTAGGAAAACAGACGGCCTTGCAGGAGCGGGTCCTCAGTGAAGTCGACACCGCGGACAATGTGACCAGGTTGGAACTATTTGCAATCAGCCTAGAGGTTCATTCTGTATCAGCGTCCTGTGGCACTATACCATAACTTGTTCGGTCTCGGCGAAATAGTTGCGAGGGTTGCGGTTCAGCTGCATCTTGCCCAACTTGGTGATAGGCACGAGTTCCTCAGGCACGATCTTGGTGGGGTCCAGGAGATCAAAGCCAAACCGCAGTTGGTCCTCTTCATCCATGATTTGAACGCCAAGCTGATTGAATTGGGAATTAGCTTCTTGTTGCTCGTTTTGACGTTTACTAGACTACTGGGAAAGGATGACGACGGAAGACGACTTACTTCCCACTCAGGATAGCGTCCAGCCTCGATTGCGTCGTGCAAATCCTGACGCATAAAGTCTGGATTCTTGCCGGAGGTCTGCTGGGCCTCTTCCCAGACCATGCTGGCCTTGCCCTGCAAAGACGTCCAGTGAAATTTGACCAGCTTGGAAGCACCGTCATCGGTTACGAAACGGAAGGTATGCACACCAAATCCGTCGACATGTCGGAAGGATCGAGGAATTCCATGTCCAGACATAGCCCAGAAAAGCGTGTGCATCGTGCTCGGCTGCTGGCTGAAGAAGTCCCAGGCCGAGTCATGAGCAGTGGCAGCCTGAGGGATCTCATTGTCACCTCTGGGCTTGACGGCGTGGATCAGATCGGGGAAGAGGATAGCATCCTGGATGAAAAATACAGGGATATTGTTACCGACGATATCTATAGCAGTTAGCCAAACGACGTGCACGTGCGAATTGGACTACCAAACGTACCGAAATTGCCCTCGTCGGTATAGAAACGGGTGGCAAAACCATGGACATCGCGAGCCAGATCCGAACTGCCCCTGCTTCCTGCGACCGTCGAGAAACGGACAAATACAGGAGTTTGCTTGCCTTCCTTGGCCAGGAAAGAAGCCGCAGTGATGTTCGAGAAGTCGCCATATGAAGTGAAGACTCCATGGGCACCGGCACCGCGGGCATGGACCGCACGCTCGGGGACCTGCATACTCGGTCAGATCATCCGGTCCATCATAGGAAAAGCGAGAAGGAATCTCGGTCTCATACCCGTTCATGGTCGAAGTGCTGGATCTTTTGACGGAAAATAAAATCTTCGAGCAGGGTGGGACCACGGTCTCCGGCCTTGAGACTGGTCTGATCTCCAATAGGGCCGCCTACGTCGGTCGTCATAAAGGTATCATTGTCGCTAAGATAATACTGGGACAAGAATTGCTCTGTGGCTGCGGCAGCGTCGCCGTCGGATACCTCATCACGACGGTTGAGCTCGCCGGTCATGTAGGGACAGACCGCATTGGCGACGCCGATGAGGCCGGGGATAAACGTGAGACGCATCCTTGGTGAGTCCCCGTTATGCGGTGACAAATTGGGAAAAGGAAGGCGCGTTCAATTGGGCGTTGTGCTGGATCATCAGAGGGATCGGAAGGATAAAGAGGAGCAAGAGGCCTGCTTATATGTGCATCAAACCCACTGCTTCTCAGCATCAGCAGGGGGTGCCGATCACCACATGGGATGCAACAATACCAAGAACTACTAAGCAGGGAAGCAGACGAATCAATTTTGCGGATATGGGATTATGCAAGTAGAACCGTCTACTCCGTAGAAGGTGCAGCAAGGTACGTGATATAGTGGGGACCCAACGGCCTGACGGAGATGATGTGATGATCGTTCAACTATTTACTAGTTCCTGAGTCCTGACACTTGGTTTGTCACAGAGAAGAAGCAGTCGGCGAGAACGAGTCAGATTCCCCCATTTAGTCAGTTGCAAACAAACAGTGCATCCTCCAATGGAAGGTGCGGGCAGCAGCAGATCCATTCTTGGCGGGAATGGCCATTTCGCTTGTGAAGAAGATGATCATCAGCTCAATCGACAGTACCAGACAAAGGCCGCAGTATGTGGTGTGTACTCTGCTCATGTTCTCACTAAGGAAGTGGTCGAGGCCGCGATGCTTGGTAATATTTTGTAATTGCATGGGTCTGGGCTACCCGGGGGAGAAGAGACCAGCGTCAACATCCCCACTTCGACAATCGCCTTTATTTGTTCGGATGTCGATGGCTTCATCTTGGCAAGTCTCACAACCGACAATCATTCCAACTTTGCTCCGTATCCACTCACCGTCCAGTTGCTGGTCATGACGTTGCTGCGCCGGGCAATTCATCTCTCTCATTCCAACTTTATCGCAGCATACTACGGAGTATATTTTGTCCTGTTGCACAATCCTTTCGGATATTCCTCGGCATAATCGGTTCCTGGATCTTCGCCTCCCAATTAACGAGTGATAAAGCAGAGACGATCATTGGATACGCTCTGCGGTCCTTGTTGAAGTCCAAAAAATCAGCACGCATATGCGATCAGTCCCGTGCTGAGGCAAGGCGATGCTTGTGGCCGTCTATTTTTAGAGATCCTGGTCAATCAAGGTCAAAGATACTTGCATAAGGCATCTTACACCGTAATTTGGAGGCTGTGTTGACTGAGCAGACAGGTACTTTGTACTGCGACCGTATGATCGGTCAGGAATGTGTGCCAATGCAACTAGAAGAGCCAAGAGTCACCCAATGCACTTGGTGTGCATTTGTCACATTTGTGTCCCAGCGGATTGGTGGGAAAAGACAGGGTCCCTATCACGGTGATTTAGGCGTTGTAGCCTAATGTGCTCCTTCAGACAAGATATTAATAATATTGCAGCATTTTGAGCTGATTTGCTAGTCAGAAGCGTGGCAATTGAACCTCCATCCGGTCCATCTTGAGC